TCGGATTTTTTTACGAATTTGACAGATATTATCCCCTATTTTTTCAGTATTTTTTCCAAATCTACCAGATATTTTTTCTCATATTTACTTATCATCTTTTCCGAATCAATTGGAAATTATACCGACTATTTTTGCAAATATTTTTCCTATCGTTAAGTAATAATTTTTTCAAACTAATCGGAAATTTTATCCTTATTTGATAAATAAAGGCTATAAATAAAAAAAAATAAAAGTTTGTATAAAAAGTTAAATTTATTTACAAAACGACATAAAAATGATTCTATTCGAATTCTATTAATATTAAAATACTTAAGTATATTTCTTAAAGAAAGGCAGAGGTGTATCTTTTATAATATTTTGGTTTCAGGAAAATCACATTTATGAATTAAAACTAACAATATTTGCAATTAACCTGATCACTTTTGAATTCTCTTCCGTTTTTTTTTATTTATTTTTTCTTCCTCTCTTGTGTCCTGTTTGTGGATTAATGTCTATCAACATCCTAGGAAAACAAATGTTTCCATTATTTATAAAAAGTAGTTAGTGATGTTTAAATAAAAATTAAATTTCATTTTGAGTTTAATTTTTTGATCATTTTTCTCAGTGCATTTCTTTATGAATCCTAAAAAAGTATTGTTATAAAAGTATTAATTATTATTTACCTTTTAATGAACTCCTTGAATATTATTAAATCAAATTTTTCACTTCACAAAAAAGTGACTTTCACTATTATAGGTATAAAAAAAATTTTCTCACTAGTTGTTATATGTAGTTAATCTCTTGAGAAAGCTGAAGAGCAACTGATGCCTGAAAGTCCTTTCTGAGGAAATGTCGTCGAAAATGTGAAAAATTTTCAAACATTTCATCTGTATATTTCAATACGAAAAATTTTAAAAACTTTTCGTCTAAATAAATCTATAAGAAAAAAACGAGACCCGAAAAACTCATAAAATAGGCTTTCTGGTAATAAGAAACCCTTGTCATCCTAAGACAAACCAGATGTGAAAAACCTTTCAAATCGAAAAAGAATCTTTCAACCATCGTATGTTTTTATAGCAATAAAATTTTGTGATACATACAAGAGATCTTTTTCGAAACTTATATTTTTTGCAATGATTATTTATGGTCATATAATAAAACAAATCGATACAAATCATAGTGAAATAAGTAAATTTACAAAGAGAAAAAAAATACAATTTGCTATACAAAAAACATTGTTTTGCCTTTCTTTGGAAATATTTCCGATAAATATTGAAAAGACTACATTATTTTCTGAATTACTTCGCAAAGCTAAAAAATAATTTTTTGTGCAGGAGAAAAATAATGTTTCTTCCTTTTCCAGAAAATTATTAAAACTTAAAAAATATAAAGAATAGAAATAATTTCACATTTTATGTGGTAAAGCATTTCTCCAAATATTATAGGAAGTACTTCCTACTTACATTGAAAAAACTCCATCATTTTCTGAAATTTTTCCATATGGTGATAAATAGTTTCCCGTTTTATGTGGAAAAAGCTTTTTTCCTACTTTCTTTGGAAATATTGCCCACTAATATTGGAAAAAAATCCATCATTTTCGGAAATTTTTCCAAATATTCTAGATGAATTTTTTCATTTTTTTCGTTTTTCTGTGCAATTAGTATTTCTTCTCCTTTTTCGGATATATTTCCTATTAAACATTCGGAAAACCGTATTTCCACCTACTTTCGGAAAAATATCCTACTATTTTATTGGAAAAAATTCCGAAATTTTTTACAGTGTACGTATGAACTCATATGGATTCCTATATAGGATCTCATATAAGAATTCATCATACAGAAATATATATATATATATAAAAATCCATTTAAAATCTTATGTAGGATCATATATAAAATCCTATATAGGATCCTTTATTGGATTTCATGTAAGAATTCATCATTTCTTGTATGTATCATAAAATTTTATTGCTAAAAAAACATACGATGGTTGAAAGATTCTTTTTTGATTTGAAAGGTTTTTCACATCTGGTTTGTCTTAGGATGACCTAGAAGGGTTTCTTATTACCATAAAGCCTATATTATGAGTTTTTCGGGTCTCGTTTTTTTCTTATAGATTTATTTAGACGAAAAGTTTTCAAAATTTTTCGTATTGAAATATACAGATAATATGTTTGAAAATTTTTCACATTTTCGACATTTCCTCAGAGAGGACTTTCACGCATATAACAACTACATATAACAACTAGTGAGAAAAATTTTTTTATACCTATAATAGTGAAAGTCACTTTTTTGTGAAGTGAAAAATTTGATTTAATAATATTCAAGGAGTTCATTAAAAGGTAAATAATAATTAATACTTTTATAACAATATTTTTTTAGGATTCATAAAGAAATGCACTGAGAAAAATGATCAAAAAATTAAACTCAAAATGAAATTTAATTTTTATTTAAACATCACTAACTACTTTTTATAAATAATGGAAACATTTGTTTTCTTAGGATGTTGATAGACATTAATCCACAAACAGGACACAAGAGAGGAAGAAAAAATAAATAAAAAAAAACGGAAGAGAATTCAAAAGTGATCAGGTTAATTGCAAATATTGTCAGTTTTAATTCATAAATGTGATTTTCCTGAAACCAAAATATTATAAAAGATACACGATAAGAAATATACTTAAGTATTTTAATATTAATAGAATTCGAATAAAATCATTTTTATGTCGTTTTGTAAATAAATTTAACTTTTTATACAAACTTTTATTTTTTTTATTTATAGCCTTTATTTATCAAATAAGGATAAAATTTCCGATTAGTTTGAAAAAATTATTACTTAACGATAGGAAAAATATTTGCAAAAATTGTCGGTATAATTTCCAATTGATTCGGAAAAGATGATAAGTAAATATGAGAAAAAATATCTGGTATAGATTTGGAAAAAATACTGAAAAAAATAGGGAATAATATGTGTCAAATTCGTAAAAAAATCCGACTTACAGGATTTTTGTTATTCGGGAGTTTTGAGGGATGCTGATACCAACTGATAGGGTCAGGTGGGGTATTATTGTCCTTGGATTTTTATGTTTCTTGTAATAAAGTATAGAAACTTGAAAAGATTAAAATGTTATTATTGTTGCCTTGCTTTTAAATTTTATTTGCAATAAAAGTTTTGAAATCGTTAAAAATTTTTGAAAAATTTTTTTGCCTAAAGTAGTTGGGAAATTATAAAATTAAGTAAATATTTTTTAACGAATTAGTATTACTTTAATAGTTATCAATTATTATGATAATAATCAATTCTTATATTAATTCGTTAAAAAGTATTTACTTAATTTTATAATTGCAACTACTTTGGGACTGTCTATAAACTACGTTACCAATTTTTCATACTTTTTAGACCTCCTCCTCCCCTAAAATAGGTAACGTAGTTTATGGACGGCCCCTTTAGGCAAAATAATTTTTTAAAAAAACTTTTTAACGATTTCAAAACTTTCTTAAAAAATAAATTTAAAAGAGCAAGGCAACAATAATTCTTTTTAATCTTTTCACGTTTCTATATTTTTATTACAAGGAACATAAAATCCAAAGTCAACAATATTTAATAATAATCTTCGGAATGAAGTAAAAATATTTTTTTGCATTTTTTAACGAGTTTAAAACTTTTCTTTTATGAAAAAATTACAATGCAGCCAAAATAATAATTCTTCCAATTTTTTCAACATGTTTTCATTCTTTTTCTATCGATAATTTTAATTTATTAGCAAAATAATAATATTCGTCATTTACTATATATATTAGTTGATATCAAATTTATAATCAGCATCCTCCAAAACTCCCGAGTCACAAGTTTCAAATTATTCCATTAAAATCATTGTCTAAATAAACATTTTGTTTCGTAACCTTTAATATTAAATTATTTAATTTGTTTATGGGCATATCTTTGAAACCTTTAACTTTTCAATAAGAAAATTTTTTTTTTTTTTTTGAGCACAGTATTGAAACTTTGTCTACATAAACTTCAAGAACTAAGCTTTCCAATTATACAAGTGGACAGATAAAACAAGTTGTCTTCAAAAAGTTATAAATATTTAAAATTGAGAATTATTTTTAACCTGTAACAAAAAAATATTCAACAGGTGTTTGCTTTTTAGGATAAAAAACAGTTGAAGGGAATTTTTTAAGGGGTTATAATTTTAAAAAGCAATAAAATTCGTTTAATATTTTCAATATTTATATGAATAATAAAATACTGAAATAATGCACTTGGTATAAAAGCATGTGTCAAAAATTAACTAGATTTATAAATTTTTTATTTGAATATTTACATTACATTTTAAAATAGATTTTTATTATAGTGAATTGTTTTAAAAATGTAAAATTGTAATTTTTAAAATTTACCATACGATTTTCATAGACTATTTTCTATTTAAATTTAATATTCGTAAACTTTCCAATTTCTTTTCTCTTTTTTCCTTTTCTATTTTTCTTTTCTCTCGCATCTTATCTTTTTTCAGAATGAATTTTTTTGGATCCATTTTTGTGTCTCGAAATAAACATTAAAACTTAACCTTCAGGTTTTAATAATTAATGACAGTTTCTATAAAAAAAATTATAATCGGCAACTTCGTACATAACAATTTCCTTCTAAAAAATTTCGGTCGATTACGGTCGACCGTAATTGATGAATATTTTTACATTATCTTTGCAATAAAGTATTTTTTCTCGAAGCACATTCACGGGATGTTAAATGGCACATGTGAAAATATATACAAGTACTTTTCGAATACTTTTATATGATTTTCATGAAGTATCACTCGTATTACGGTTGTTTTCAAATTTTGTCCACGCGTGTTTTCGTTTATATAACTTATAATAATTTTTTGAAAACATGAAGCACATCAATTTATTATGTCTCAAAATAATTATAGTAGCTTGATCTTTGATTTCCCATAAGTTATTTTAACGTGCCGCTTGTCTTATAAAAGAAAAATCATAAATACGATGCTTACGGTAGAAAAGGTTAAGAGCATTTGAACCTTCGTGACGTCACAAATCATGGCGCATGACACGCAAACTTCTCAGGTATGTGAAAAGCACAATTTTGAATATTTTTTAAAAAAACCTTTTGGAAAATGTTCAGAATAACATAGACTCTGTCTGTTATGTGCGGAAAATTTAAAATTTTGCGTTTAAAACGTTTTTTAAACAATGTTTAAATCACAAATCATGGCGCATGACACGCAAACTTCTCAGGTATGTGAAAAACACAATTTTGAATATTTTTTAAAAAAACCTTTTGGAAAATGTTCAGAGAAACATAGACTATGTCTGTTATGTGCGAAAAATTCAAAAGTTTGCGTTTAAAACGTTTTTTAAACAATGCCTACATATAAGCAATTCGTGTATTTTTCCTTACTTGTGACAACCAACTTAAACATTGTTTAAAAAACGTTTTATACGCAAAATTTTGAATTTTTCTCACATAACAGACATAGTCTATGTTTCTCTGAACATTTTCCAAAAGGTTTTTTTAAAAAATATTTAAAATTGTGTTTTTCACATACCTGAGAAGTTTGCGTGTCATGCGCCATGATTTGTGACCTTAACATTGTTTAAAAAACGTTTTAAACGCAAAATTTTGAATTTTCCGCACATAACAGACAGAGTCTATGTTATTCTGAACATTTTCCAAAAGGTTTTTTTAAAAAATATTCAAAATTGTGCTTTTCACATACCTGAGAAGTTTGCGTGTCATGCGCCATGATTTGTGACGTCACGAAGGTTCAAATGCTCTTAAAAGTGAGGGACAACTTTTAAAAGCTTATAAATTTTTTCACAATTAATAAAATATTAATTTCCCTGCGAAAATGTGTTCACCGATTAATTAACATTGAAAAACCATATTTCAGAATTAGTAATTTTTATTAAATCTAAAACTATATCGTTTAAAGCATCAGAAAGTATGGTTAAGGACAAGTAGACATTGTTAAAAATCGCGTATTAAATTTGAAATAATTACACAGGCACAAAAAAAAAAGTTGTCTGTTTCTTGAACTACACATATATTTCCTATAGTATTTTGGCCCGCTGAAACCGAATCTGAGGTCAGAATTGCTCCATCACCCTCAGTTTTTTTTTTAAATCGACCAAAACCACCCTTAAACGGACAAATTAACACTTCGGAGATAAAAAATAAATCAACTTATTTTTTAAAAAAACCAAATTTTACATCTACGAAACTTTGCTCCACTAACTCAAAAACAAAGCCAGCATTGATCCAGCACCCCCTGAATTTTTTTAATCGAAAAAACTACCCCTAATCTGAAGAATCAAATTCAAGAGGTAAAACAATAAAATAACTGATTAAAAAATTTTATAACCAGGTATTTTTACTCCAGCAAGGCAGAAACAAAGCCAGAAATGCTCCCTCACCCTCTAAAATTTTTTTAACTCGAAAAAACCACCCTTAAATAGAAAAATTCAAATTTAGGAGATTAAAAATTAAATAACTGACTTTTTTAAAACAGAACCTTACTACATCTATGTATTTTCGCTCCACTAACTCAAAAACAAAGCCAGCATTGATTCATCAACCTCTGAATTTGTTTAATCGAAAAAACTACCCCTAATCTGAAGAATCAAATTCAGGAGGTAATATACAATATAATAACTGATTGAAAAATTTTACAGCCAGGTATGTTTCCGCATTGCTGGAGTAAAAATACCTGGTTATAAACTTTTTTAATCAGTTATTTTTTTGTTTTACCTCCTAAGTTTGATTCTTCAGATTAAGGGTAGTTTTTTTTATTTAAAAAAATTCAGAGGGTGATGGATCAATGCTGGCTTTATTTTTTTGAGGTAGTAGAGCAAAACTACATACATGTAAGGTTCTGTTTTTAAAAAAGCCGGTAATTTAATATTTTTTTACTTCTTAAATTTGAATTTTTCTATTTAAGGGTGGTTTTTTCGATTTAAAAAAAATTTAGAGGGTGAGGGAGCATTTCTGGCTTTGTTTCTGCATTGCTGGAGTAAAAATATCTGGTTATAAAATTTTTTAATCAGTTATTTTATTGTTTTACCTCTTGAATTTGATTCTTCAGATTAGGGGTAGTTTTTTCGATTAAAAAAATTCAGGGGGTGCTGGATCAATGCTGGCTTTGTTTTTGAGTTAGTGGAGCGAAAATACATAGATGTAGTAAGGTTCTGTTTTAAAAAAGTCAGTTATTTAATTTTTAATCTCCTAAATTTGAATTTTTCTATTTAAGGGTGGTTTTTTCGAGTTAAAAAAATTTTAGAGGGTGAGGGAGCATTTCTGGCTTTGTTTCTGCATTGCTGGAGTAAAAATATCTGGTTATAAAATTTTTTAATCAGTTATTTTATTGTTTTACCTCCTAAGTTTGATTCTTCAGATTAAGGGTAGTTTTTTTTATTTAAAAAAATTCAGAGGGTGATGGATCAATGCTGGCTTTATTTTTTTGGGTTAGTAGAGCAAAACTACATACATGTAAGGTTCTGTTTTTAAAAAAAGCCGGTAATTTAATATTTTGCTTCCTCGTGGAGGAAGCTATGTAGTCCTTTCGTTTATAAACTTTTTAAAAATGGTGAAAACAAATTTTCCTCTATATAGAAACATGTTATATGAGATCCTGATCAATTGTCCGGATGTATGTATGTGTGTGTGTGTGTGTGTGTGTGTGTGTGTGTGTATGTGTGTGTGGATCGTTTTTGTGAACACGATATCTTTAACAGGTTTTAATGGATTTGGATAAAATTTGTTAGGCTTATTTAACACATTAATCTCTCAAAAATGACGAGAGGATTTTTAAAAATACCCCAAAAAAAAAATTTTATCGTCTTTTTTCCAAAAATTTTTTTTTAATTGAAAAAATTTTTAAATCGAAAAATTTAAGGTAATATATAATATAATCGTCTTCTTTATGTCAAGATGAATCGATTGATATATATAAAGTATAGATTTGATTGAAATTTAAAGAATTAAAGAAAGTTAAAAAATCAAAAATTCTCATTTTAGCTAAAAAATGATGTGTTTATTTAAATTCATGTTTCTATATGAAATAATTTTATTCCCTGCATTGAAACGAATTGGTTGGTATATATAAAGTATAGATTTGATTTAAAATTTGAGAATTAATAAAAATTGAGAAATTGAAAATTCATATTTTAGCTAAAAAATTTTGTGTTTTTTTTAAATACAAGTTGATGAATAAAATAATTGTATTCCTTGCATTAAAACGAATCGATTCGTATATATAAAGTTTATGTTACACTCAAAATTAATTAAAATTTTCTTTATTTTTAAAAAAATTTAATTAATTTAAAACATTTTTAACTCGAAATTTTTTAAATCAATCAATTGAATTGGACAAATTCATTGCTTCCTTCACGAGGAAGCAAATTTTTTGCTTCACACAATGAGGAAGCATAATGTTTATGAAATAAACATAAAGGACCCCCTCCTTGTTTTTACTTCTTAAATTTGAATTTTTCTATTTAAGGGTGGTTTTGGTCGATTTAAAAAAAATTTAGAGGGTGAGGGAGCATTTCTGGCTTTGTTTCTGCCTTGCTGGAGTAAAAATACCTGGTTATAAAATTTTTTAATCAGTTATTTTATTGTTTTACCTCTTGAATTTGATTCTTCAGATTAGGGGTAGTTTTTTCGATTAAAAAAATTCAGGGGGTGCTGGATCAATGCTGGCTTTGTTTTTGAGTTAGTGGAGCAAAGTTTCGTAGATGTAAAATTTGGTTTTTTTAAAAAATAAGTTGATTTATTTTTTATCTCCGAAGTGTGAATTTGTCCGTTTAAGGGTGGTTTTGGTCGATTTAAAAAAAAACTGAGGGTGATGGAGCAATTCTGACCTCAGATTCGGTTTCAGCGGGCCAAAATACTATAGGAAATATATGTGTAGTTCACGAAACAGACAACTTTTTTTTTTTGTGTGCCTGTGTTATTTATGTATTTAATAAATTAAAGTGGAATCTTTGGAAATGATTGATTGTATCAAGCATTAATATTTCCAACAAAAACCAACGAAAAATTTATTAAAATTACCAAAATATATGCGAGGGACATTAAAGTTAAAGGTTCTAGAGATATGCCCTTATAAAATATGAACTTTTTTCCGTTTAATTTTATTTCTTTTAGGAAAGCAGTGTTTTGAACTATAGGATCTTGTAAAGGATCCTACATAAAATCCTATATAGGATCTCATGTAAGAATTCATCATACAGAAATATATTATAAAAATCCATTTAAAATCTTATGTAGGATCATATATAAAATCCTATATAGGATCCTTTATTGGATTTCATGTAAGAATTCATCACATAGGAATTTATGTGGGATGTCATGTGAGGATTTCATTGTTTTAATTGTCCATCTAAGATACCAAGTCGGAAATTATATGAGAAATTATGTCGGAAATTATATAGGAAATTCAAATATAGATGTATATCATCATATTTCCACTCTTACGCCGCCAGATGGTGCTAATTTTTTTTCTTACAGTTGAGATCAGTCTTGAATACTATAAAAGCTGAGACTCTAACTCAGAAGGTGTATTGCAAAGCACAATTTCTTTTGTTTTCAGCTGAATTACAGTAATATTATTTGATTTTTAATTAAATAATTTTTGATTTTTATAAACTGTCGTCTGCCAACTGAAAATTCCTATATGAAATCCTATATTGTTTCCTTTATATAATTCTATGTGAAATCTTAAATATAAATATTTCAGAATCTACATGAAATCCTATATGATTTCTTACGTTCAAATCAATCATATATATGATCTCACGTGAGGATTTTCAATATGATTTCATGTCAGATTATTTGTAATAATTTTTTATTCAAGAATCGAAAAAAGATTTGATGTATGATTTGATATAGGAAAATTTCTGGTTAAGGATTGAGCAATGAATTTTGGTATGTTTTTAGTGAGAAAACACGAAGGAAATTGACATAAGAAATTGAAAGAAAAAATGTGACCAGAAAAAATTGTAGGATTTCACATAGGAATTTACATAACTTATTACCTAAGAATACGTTTGTAAGAATTTACATCGAATCCTACTTCAAATCATGTCTCAATTTCCTATATTTATTTTTCATAGGATCCTATATAGTTTCTTACATGACACATAGGATTTTATGTGGATTTTAATATATGAATTTATGTGAGATCCTATATAAGATCCTATATGATAATTTTCAGTAGGGCGGCGCATAGTGAATTGTTCTCTAATAATAATAATAATGAATAAACAAAAACTTCTTTTTCTTTTTTTGCTTCTATCATAAGGCGCAAAGAATGAAGAGCTTATACGAGAAATCTGCACGTACAAATGCGTGGGCGAATATACATATATATTTCCGCGCAGTTATTCATTTCTCAATATATATTTTCGAAGTCTTCTATTTATTATTTCGGTCTTAAAAGTAATAAAGATGCATTGAATGAAGCGGTAAATGGAAGATGAAAATGGCTTGGAAACGAAATTTAAACTGTTTTAATATAAAATGCGACCTCTTTTTTTCTACTTTATTATACCTATTTATATGATATCATGCATATATATATTATTACATATCTTTCCGACTATTTTTGTTTTAATTTAGAATATATTGAGGCGCTTTAAAATTAAATAAAAAAATAATTAAAACTTTTGTGAAGCGTCACTTTCATCAAATATAAATAAGAAATATATGTATTTTCATATTCCAATGTCATTTATAATAAATGTCAATTATTAAAAAAAAAATTCTGTTAAAATTTTATTAGAACATTGCATCATTTTACATTTAGAATTTTTATTGATTTTTTTTATCTAACTTTATAATTTTTAAGTTAAATAGAATTCAAATTAAATTAAATGTTATATTAACTATTAATTTGGTAATATGTACACGGAAAAACTTTGTTCAAGAATCATTCCTAAATTTGTTCAGGAACTGAGGATATGAGAAAAATTCTGCAAAATTTACAGAAAAATACAAAAATCATTCAAGAAAATACTTGTATTTTTATTATGACATTGGAAGACTTCTTGTTAATGCCGCGATCGGAATATCTCAGTCACTGGGCGTTGAAAGTTTCTGGAACTGTTTTAGAAGACACAGTACAGTAACCAAGCACTAGGCAGGGAATGGTTGCGTCAAATACGTTTCCAATGCATAATACCATAAGCTGCTAAGGTAGCTGAGAGATGTAAAGCAGAGTTTTTGGACTCTCGAGGACGTGGGATCGAGTCCTTCCAGAGTAAATTTTTTTTCTCGCAAACGTAAAAATTTATTCTAAAACAAGTTCAAGACTTTCTGTAGTGAGTTTAGGAAGTTGTCTTGAATTTCTCTACAAGTCTTAATTATACTATATAATATTTAAAATTATATGTGTATCAAATTACCTTGGTCATCAAATCCATGAGTTATTTCGTGACCTATTGTAGAACCTATATATCCGTAATTTATCGCACTGTTGAAATAAAGAGGAAAGTTTTTTTAAAAATACGGTTAATTAAGAATTTTTTAAATACAAATATATGAGAAAATTCGTTAAAATAATAAGTACAAGTTATTAAAAGAGTGTTTTTTTAATAAATTGAAACTTTTTACTCTCTGAATTTGAATCAGTGAAATTTCACTGACAAAATAGTTGGAATTTAGCAACTGAATTATTTCAGTAAGATTTTCACTAAAATTCAATCACATTTCACTGAAAATCAGTTGAATTATTACTGATTTAAACAGTCAAATCTACATTATCATTAATCGGTAAAACAGATTTGACTGTTTTAATAAGTAAAGAATTCTACTAATTTTCAGTGAAATATGACTGAATTTCAGTGGAAATTTTACTGAAATTGTTGAGTTGCTAAATTCCAACTATTTCATTAGTAAAATCTCACGGATTTAAATTTAGAGAGTATAGTTCTATTCATAAAATAGTGAAGCGTTAATAATTTATTAATTGAAAATATAGAAATACTTACAGAGGTAAATTCGAATTATATATGGGAAGTAAAAGTAGAGCAGCTGCAACACCTTTTCAACAAATTAACATTAATATTAAAGAAAATTACTTATATCTTTAACTATATTGCAAAATTTTCTTAAATTATATACTCTAAAATTATTATTTTCGGATAAATTTGCCAATTACTGCGCGATTTAAATGTTGAAGTGTTATTTATAGATATATTTATACAAAAATTAAAATCCCAAAAATATAATATATTTGAACAAATTAATCAAGGTTTAATTTTAAAGAATAAAATTAATAATAATATAGTTTAAGCCCTTCGCAGTCTAGTGTAAAAATCATCGTTTTTGGACCCAAAACAATAAAAATAAAAGTTCCAAAAAAAATATTACACGGAGAGAAATAGATGGTAAGAACTTATGATCTTAAGATGGTAAAAAGTAGATGTTATCCGGTACCATCATTATGCTACTCGGTACTATCAAAGATGTTACAAAAAGTATGGTTATGTTACCCACTACAATCTAGATGTTACTCCATACAATCTGGATTGTAACTAATAGAATCTAGATTGCTGTCCGTATATGTAAGATCAAATATGGTACCTGGTACTGTCTAGATAGTACCCCGTACCATCTATTTCTCTCCGTGTATTTCATTTTAGGCAACCCTTGATACATAAAACAGGTTTTAAAGAAAGCGCAGTAATTATAGGTAAGTGGTGAGATAATAACTCTGTAAAAATACATTAAAATTATGTGCCTTAAAGTTAAATAACCTATTCCTATTACATCCCAGATAGCACCGAATTTTGCAGGAAGTTAACAGTAAGTTAACGACCATAAGTTCGGAAGTTAACACTGTTAACTTCTCGCTAACTTGCTGTAATTTATAAAGCTAAATTTGCAAAAAGTTTTTTTTAAGTAAGTTTGCATAAATTTTACAAGAAGTTTTTTCTGATAAATTCAAAATTAAAAAAAATATTTTTTTTCAAGATGTATGTATTTTAGTACATCCATAGTTTGTCTATACATAGGGAAATGTGATTAAAAAGTATTGCGCAGCCCTAGCTGCCATAGAAAACTTCTGCGCATGAAAATAGATTTTTAAATTTACCATAAAAATTTTGTGTAAAATTATACAAAGCAAAACTTTCAACAAATTCACTTTTCTACCTTTCAACAAGTTCACAGAAAAAACCTAGTCTCATTTTTGTTGCAGTTCAAAATGAGTCAGTGCTAAATGACATAGAAAGTGGCGCCACCAACCTGACTTATTTTGAGTTTAGGTTTTTTCTGTGTTAACAATGTTAACTTAAACTCTGAGGATATTTAAAACTTCTGGGAAGTAAACTGGAAGTTAAAAACGTTAACTTTTAAACTTATCTTAGTTAACTTCCTATTAACTTTCTGTAAAGTTCGGTGCTATCTGGGATGAAATTAATACATAGTAATGACTTACGGCTCAGAATCATTGCTCTGTAGTTCACGAATATATTTGGCTGCTTCAAATCTTATATGTTTAAAAAAAGCGATTTTATTTTCGAAATAATCTGGACCTAACGGAACCTGCAAAATAAATATTAATTAAAATTTTCTTAATTTTTAATTATTCAAAAAATTTAATTAATTTAAAACATTTTTTAACTCAAAATGTTTTAAATCAATCAAATAATTGAAAGAAATTTTTTGCTTCACACAATGAGGAAGCAAAATGTTCGATAAATGAAAATAAAAGAACACCCTACTTTTTTATTTTTAAATGCTCATAACTTTTCAATTGAACTTTTTATAAACTTTATGCAAAAAATTATAAAATTTACTATATTTTTTGTAATTTAAAGGGGTTAAAATCTTGTTTGCTTCCTCGTGGAGGAAGCTTTGTAGTCCTTTCGTTTACCTATATTAAAATTGTTTTTACCCAATAAACGAAAAAAAAAAATTACAAAAAATATAGTAAATTTTAATTTTATAATTTTTTGATGAAAAAAATTATGATCAAAATAATTTTTTGGAGGGTATAAAACAATATCTTGGTTAGGCATGATACCCCTCATTTAAAATGTACATTAAGGGGTTATTAATCTGCAATGCCTGCTCCATATATTATCAATGGAATTTCACTGACTAGTTGTGAAAATTACTGCAAATTAGTGTTTAATTATATTAGCATACCTCATCATTTATATTTTCATCACTTGAATTAAATTCCGAAAAATACGATTCTGAATAACCAATTACAATCTTCATTGCCTTAAGTTTTTCCTTAACCAGGTTCTTTGTTTCATTATTTAACCAATTGGAGTTCGACATTTCTACTTCAATTTCATGTTGGATTTCTTTAGCCATGGTTGTCGCCTATGCCAACCAGAAATTAATATATTTCATTACTTGTGACTCTGTTGTCAATGTAAATTATTTGTATTATATATTATTGTATTTTAATCATAACTTACGGATACTTTTGTCGTGTTAGGAAATTGACGTTTTATGAATTCAAAAGACGTTCCGAAATTGTATTTCAAACTATTGAAACAATATTCCCACCTAACAATTTGAAAATTTCAATTTAAAAATAGATGAACAACAACATATATGTGTTTTGAATAGTTAAAAGGGACTAAACTGCACTTTTGCGTTAATATATGACTTGGGGATTCTTGTGCTGAAATAAAAACTATCCTTTTAAAACTAAAAAAAAGTATAGAAAATTTCGAAATTATTTGACCTTTCTGATGGTTTGATGATTCCTACATCAGCAGTTTTCTTCGTGTCATAAATGAATTGTACTGTTTCTTTATCTAAATATGGAATGGTCTCCCGTATAAACATCCAATGAATGTAATTGACTGAAAAAGATTTATATATTTTAATTAAAATTTTACAGGAGGCTCCTCTTATCGGATTCTCGTACATTTTCCCGAAAACTTTTTTCCCAAATACAATTTCCTAAATACTTTTTTACCGAATGCATTTTTACGGAATCAATTTTATCTAATGTAATTATTATTTTTTAATAATAAAGTTTGTTATCATAGCAATCGTGAATAATAAACTTGTCGAAGTTTATAAAGTAGACATCCTAAAGAGTAGGTTATATCTATAAAATAGTCAAAAAGTTAAAAAATGACAAAATGGCGTACACTTTTTTAAAAAAGTGCGATTTTTTTACTATTTTTACAAAAATCAAAAAAATGATCAGATCTGATTAATTTTTAGCCCTCCTTAATTAGTTAATTTAATATATATATATATATATATATATATAAAATTTATTAAAATATTTTATTTTTATTGTACCAATTGTTCTTTGAGGTGTTTTTTCTAGTAGTTGACTTAATTTATTGAAGTAAGGTTTGTCATATACAATTATTTCTTCTGATTCATCAATAACAACATTAGTATTATTGTAAGTGGCTTTAATCATTTCGAGCCAATTAATCTAAAAACAATAAATATAAACTAAAGTTATTAACAACAAAAATAATAATCATACACTGAAAAAAGGGTTTGCTATTGACAACCAAACGTTTGGTTAGTCAAACAAATTTTGATTTAGACAATTAAAATTTTATTGATTCAACAAAAAAATTTTGGTTGCTTAAATACCAACCAAACGTTTGGTTGTCAATACCAAACCCTTTTTTCAGTGTAGTAGGATGATACCAATATTAATATAAATTGAAGAGTTAAATAAATTTTCGTTTGAGCTAAATATTCGTAATAAATAACAAGAAATAACATTTGTTTACCTTTGATATTGTGCTTGCATTAGTATTGTTATGATTATAAAAATTCTGAAAATCGCTAATTCGCATTATTTCGTATTCAAATTCTCTTCTTTCATTTTGAGTTAATTTAAGCTAATAAGAATAAATTGATTAATAATACAATTTTCATTTCTTCAAATATAATTTGAAATTAATGCGATTATTACCTTCTCCAAGGATTTAATAAACTCATACAAATTTCTACTTTCAATTTCGATTTTTTTTTCGTCCCTCATTCCTTCGGATTCTGAATATTTAGAAATTGCTCTGTTTAGAAAATTTTCATATTTTGTTTTATCGTTATTTCCATGACTGTATGAACTATATTGATTATAATAATGACTACTTTCCATATCATTCAAAAAACTGATGTCAGGCAGAAACTTATTTTCTTGAGTAATCTGCAATATTATAAAACTTGTAATGTACATTTTGTTATCGTAAAATTGGCATTTTGCTGTTTCATACTCTCTAAAACTGAATTAGTGAAAAATTCACTGATTTTAATTAAGTGATTTACTTTTCATGATTTCAATCAGTGATTTTTACTATATTTGAGCAATTCAGCTCAATATGTATTTACATTTATTATTGTAAAAGATTAATTGCTTCTTACCCAAATCATTTGAAGTGTGGAATTTTTTGGATTATATGAAGTATCTATATTAAATAAACCATATCCTCCTATAATATCGACATAATAATAAACAACATCTTGCCAAGTGATTTCTTTTTTTTCCCATTCAGTTGTATTCATAACCATTGGCCAACCACCAATCTTGTCTATAATTTTCTTCCATGGTTCCAATCCTCTTTTCTTAATTCTATCTAAAATTATTCATAATATATTTTTTAATTTCAAGTTTTCATTAAATATTATTGCTATTTCATTGAAAATAAAAATTATTTGATTTAACAACAATCGGCTATATTTATCATCAAAGCAGATATTTTCTGCAATGAATAATTATTATCGTTCGGAAGGTGTCTGAGTTAAATAATAAATATTTGATTGAAATACAAAAAAAGTTATTGATTAAAATTAATTTTATTTGTTTTAATTAAAAATTACTTGATTCCAATTAAATGGTGTTTAGAAAAAAAATTTTCTTGAAAATACATAACGAATCAGGTATAAACTTATTTAAATTAAATATAAATTTTGTTTTCAGTGTACGGAAAAAAATATTTGGCATTGACAGCAAAACAGTTTGCTGCATTGATTTGAGAAACAAAAATTTTGTTCAATCATCTTAAAACCTTTGTGTTTTATGAACAAAATGTTTTGTTGTCAAAGAAAAATATTCTTATCACTGAAAATTGTTGAACATGAATTAGACTCATAAAAAAATTAGATAATTTTATAAATGATAAGAATTACTGAGACAGGTCAACTTCTGGGACATGTCAATTATAGGGGCATATTAACTAATGGGACATGTAATGTCCATTCGGGAAAATGTACATTCAGTAAATGGAGATTTGGGATCTGTGGGGCCCCAAAATTTGAATTTGGGAGCTATGGTGCCCCAAAATTTGAATTTGGGATCTGTGGGGCCCCAAAATTCGAATTTGGGATCTGTGGTGCCCCAAAAGTTTAATTTGGGATCTGTGGGGCCCCAAAATTTGAATTTGGGATCTGTGGTGCCCCAAAATTTTAATTTGAGATCTGTGCCCTAAAATTTGATTTTAAGAGCTGTGGTGCCCCAAAATATACTACGGACAGACGGACGCCAAAGTGAAACTATTAGGCTTTCGGCCATGGGCCACGAAACCCTAAAAATTGACAGCCTGATCCGAGTAGAGGAAGACCCCTATTACCAATAAAAAGCCATCCAAAATCATAAAAAAGTTCCCAAAAAAATTAAATTTTTCTTAGGCAGACTATTTTATTGCAATTTCTTGCACAAAATACACCTAAAAGTGTAGAAAAAAATTGACAGCCCGATCCGAGTAGAGGAACACCAATTTTATGACCATTAACGCGATTTTCGTAAAAAAAAAATTTTCAAAAAAATTCAATTTTTTTTTAGGCAGACTATTTTATTGCAATTTTTTGCACAAAATACACCTAAAAGTGTAGAAAAAAATTTACAGCTAAATATAATTAGAGCAAGACTCCTATTACCACTCATATGTCAACCACAATCATAAAAACATGTTGTAAATTCAGATGTTTATTACATAAACATTTTGCTTCCTTTTTACGATAAGAAAAAAAATTAGCTTCCCCGTGGAGATAACATTAACATTGAAATAAACGTACAAAAATAATATTAACATTTGAGTACCTATAGATTGGAGTTAAATTTAAAGAAATAAGTTAAAAAATCAAAAATTTACATTTTAAGAGAAATTTCTAAATATTAATGAAAAATAAAATATAATTTATAATTATTTAAAATTATATCGATTCGTTTCAATGCAACGAACTCAATTATTTTATATTTAAACTTGAATTTAAATAAATACAAAATTTTTCAGCTAAAATGTGAATTTTCTATTTTTTAACTTTCATTAATTTATTAAATTTACCTCAAATGTAAATTTTATATATACCAATCAATTCTTTTTCATGCAAGGAATACAATTTTTTCATCTATAAACTTAAATTTAAATAATCACAAAATTTTATAGACAAAATGTGAATTTTTGATTTTTTAACTTTCATTAATTCTTTAAATTTAAATTAAAACTTTACTTTATATATACTGATCGATTTGTCTTGATGTAAGGAAGACGATTTTATTAAATATAACTTTAAATTTTTGTATTAAAAAATTTTTTCGATTAAAAAAAATTTTTTGAAAAAAGACGATAAAATTTTTTTTTTGGGGTATTTTTTAAAATTCTTTGGTCAGTTTTCAGATATTAATATGATAAATAAGCCTACCAAATTTTATCTAAATCCATTAAAACCACTTAAAATTATCTTCTAAATAAAAAAGGGATCCACACACACACTCTCATACATACATCCGGACAATTGATCGGGATCTCATGTAACATGTTTCTATATAGAGAAAAATTTGTTTCCGACACTTTAAAAATTTTTATAAACGAAATGACTACAAAGCTTTCTCCACGAAGAAGGAAAAAATATTTAAAGAAAACAGAAATATCATTTTATTGGAATTGCAAGTAAGAGCTCCCAATACCTGTGGGGTATTACTTTAAAAAAATTCATATAGATGAGTATGTGTATAAGCTTTACCTTAGATAAAGGTGTATAGTATGTATATCTGCAGTATAAAATTATCGACTATTGATAATGTTGGGATCTACCTTACCATCAGTCGGTAAAGTAGGGAATTGGATTTCAAACTTCCCCTACACTGCTGATAATGTAGATATTTACCTTATCGGCAATCGACAAAGCGGTAACTTAAATTCTGTATACTTTAATTTTGCGTAATGTAAAAACTAATATTTTATTTTGTTTTTTTACATATTATAAAAAAATATTTTTTAACTTTAATAGCAAATAGACAATAGAAAAATTAATTTCTAACTTTTTTACATTTATTAAAAAAAAAATGTGTTCAAAAATTTGCAAAACAGGTTTTTAGACACAAAACTCATTGAGTATTTTTTTTTTTTTTTTTGTATAACATCATTTATTAAGGGATAAAATAAATGACAAATAACATATCACTTATTATATGAAACTATAACATTTCTTAGTATTCATTATTCGTTACGATATAAAAGAAATCACATCACATACGACCCTTCTTCATTTTTTTTTTACAATATAATAAAGTCTCACTACTCCAATCATTGGAACAAACCCAATCCATAAGTTTCGAGATCAAATCGTTTTTTTTTTTTTTTTAATTTCCAATTATATAATCACAAAATTCTAAGACTAATTATGTTAATTATATATGGCAATAAAAAGCAAAGTTAATTTTTTTAATGCTAACATAATAATTATAATTACAATAATAATAATAATAATAATAATGGTCAAATTCATGATATTAAGTAGAGAAACCAATTGGAATGCTAAGTGATTGAAATATAACAATTATTATATCTAATGAAAAAAAAATCTATTAACAAAAAAGTAAGATACACTTAGGTATTAGTTTGCTCGCAAAAAATCAGAGTACAGTTGACCTGAACAATATTTCTTTGTATCGTGTTACGTCGATCGTTACATATATGTATATATTTTTTTATATATCTCAAGAAGGGCCAAGTCAAATCACTTGAATTATCACACGATCATTCTTGATGCGGTGGCATATAATATATATATATATTTAGATAGATTATTTTATATGTTTTTTGTGACTGTTGAAGATGAACAACTTTGATAGATGATGATGATGACAATCACAATCGATAGTCGTAAATAATATTTGAAAAAAAAAATTCTAGTACAAAGCGAAATTGATTGATTCACTTGTGTAAAATACTTTTTGTTGTTCATCTTCTATTTATTTTATTTTATTTTATTTTTTTTTTTGACTATTTTTTTGTCGAGGCGCCAGCTCGATTTAAACAAAAGAAACAAATTTTTTTTCTCCTCTCGCCTCACAGCATTGTCAGTTAATTATTTTTTTCAATTAAAAAGAAGAAACAAAGTCATAAAACACGTAAACTCGGGTGACCAAGTGCTAATTATTATTATTTTTTAATAATATATATAATATATATATATATATAGAAAATACATCGATAACTCTTCATTTTTATAAAACGTCCACTTACGACCACACGAATACTTGATATATATAATATATATATCTTTTTCTTCTTTCTTTTCTTCTATATATAAGAAATTAAATATAATAATCGATTTTTTTTTTTAATAATTTATCGATTCTTCAAATTTTTTCCCAAACCTCATATTTTTTTTTTCTTCTCGAAAATAAAATTTTTTTTTACAATAAATTACAATAAATTGAAATTATATTTCAACATTTCCATTTCGCAAATACAATTAAAATCACAGGAGCGAAAAATGAAAAAATTTCCCCTCTCACACTCCGAGTCACGATTATTTATATAAAAAAAAAAAAATCTCATTGTTTTTTTTTTGTTTCTTCAGACAAAAGCAATTAAAAAAATAACAATATAATATAGCCATATTTTTTTTTAGTCTTAAACAGTAATTCTTAAAAAAATACTCGCAGTTCCAGAAACTTTTCTTTGCGCTCTACAACGTCATTGGTTCGATGCACCAACGCAAATTGTCCATTTTTTTTTGTCAAGTTTTACGCTCCCATTTTCTTTTTTTTTTTTTTCTTTTTTTTTTGGAAAGCGAAACAAGCATTTGTGTGCAATTTGAAGAAAATGTAAAAATCATAAAACTACATTGTATTACATATTGTTACTAAATAAATATTTCGTCCTTTTCTCTGATTGCTTTCGCATGTCAGTTAATGAAAATAAAAAAAAAAAAAAAAAAAAATAAAAAAATCATTCACGTGCTTTTTTTTACATCATCCCTCGACATTCGCACTCTAACTGAGATCGCTGCGCGGAAAAGACGAATACTCATTTGCTCTAGAAAGATAGAAAGAGAAATTTTTTTTTTCAAAATGAGTATACACACAATTCCGTCTTTGTAACTTAAAAAATATCGCCTGCGAAATCTCCGCAGGTTTTAGCAGAGTAACAATGAGGGACGATGGCACGATTATAAAATTATCAGCAATACAAAACTAATTTTTTTTTTTGTTTTTTTTTCTGTTTTGTTTTAATGAAAGAGCGCAAAAATATTGAAAATCCTATTAAACAAACAGCATGCTTTTTTTAATCATCTCTCTTTGTACATTCATTTACAAGTACCACATAAAAAAAAATGTTAAACACCTCAATTTTTGATATCAGTTCAAATTCGATAATACATTTATTTAAAAAAAAAAATTCTATTTGTTAAAAATCTTATCGACAGATGGTCACACAAATAGAGAAAATTAGATTTAAAAAATGTCTATTTAAAAAAAATATACAACAGATATTTGTAAAATTTAACAATTATATTTTTTATCATATTTAAAAATCATCAAATGATTTCGATTTTTTTTTTCACCGAAACATTAATGTTTAATGCTTGCAATTCTCTACTTTTTTTTCAATTATCTAACTATTTATGATAATAATTATTACAAAGACACTTACAAATATTGTGATTCATGAAAAATCAAGAGTTTTGTAAAAAAAAAAAAAAAAAGAGTTTTAATTTATATATTAATTTTTCTTTTACGAACAATTAATTATTTAAAAAAAAACATTTTAAAAAAATGTAAAATTTTTTAATAAATAAATATTTTTTTTAAAAAAAGCTAAAAAATTTTGAATCAAAATTACAATTTCCAAAAAGAAAATAAACTCTGATTCGAAATATTAAAAAAAAAAAAATTTTTCTATATATTAGTATTTAATACAAAAACAATTATGTAATTACAAAAAACAAAGTGACCCTAGGAAAAAATCACAAGTCAAAAAAAAAAAAAAAAACGAAATTGAGACAGAAAATTTTGTTGTGGAAAAAAATAGAGAAAAAAAAAAGACTATTTACATTGAGCTCATTGTGAGCTTTTGAAAAATGTAGATATGTGTCGAAACAAGCAAATTTCTCTCATTCGAGTGAATTTGTAATCAATAATAATATTAAAAAAAAACACAAGCATTTAAAAATTTCGAAAATTATTTTTAAAAAATAAATATTTCCTCTTTTTTAGGGCAATTTTTTTTTCATATAATTCATTTCACAAAAAAAAACATTTTTTCTCTTTGAAAAAAAATGAAAAATTCTCCTAAAATGTCACAAAAATGAATAAAAATAATATTCGAAAATTTGTCTAATTTGCTAAGTATTTTCACAATATTAACTTAAAAAAAAAAAAAAAAAAAAAAAATTTTAAAAAAGTATTTATGAAAAATGGAATTCAAGAAAAATTGCATAAAAATTATATGAATACAAACGAAAGGCGCAATAAAAAAAAAAAAATCTTTCACAAAGAAATTATTGATAAAGCTTTTTTTTCTCGTAAATAATATTTCGCGCTGCATTTCAAAAAAGTGTCTCAATATTTCCATTTTTTTTTTTTTTTTTTTTTTTTTTTATTCACATTTATATATATATATTTTTTTTTTTTGTAAATATCTTCTTTTTTTTATCTTTATATTATGGATAAAGCTATATTTTTTCGATTCTCGCACAAGTTATTATATATATATATATATATTCTTATTTATATATAAAAACTTATAACAGAATCACATCTAAGTTTTTCAGAAAAAGAAAAATATACATAAGACTCGTAACATGCTGTTGCCATTTTTTTTTTTTTTTAATTGGCTCATTATTTCTTTCGAGCCTTATACACAACAATTATTTAATGTCATCTCTCTCTTTTTTTCTGAATCTCGCCAAATCGCATGCGAGAAAAGAATTGGCAAAATCGATTGACTGATTAATCGCCATACAAATAAACGAAAAAAAAAAAAAAAAAAATTAGGTCATATATCGCATCACAGCTCGCAAGGCATACAATAATTCTGCTTGCATTCGAGCTTCCAGAATCATTAAATTCACATGAACCTGAAACAAAAAAAAAGCAATTTTCATTTAAAGATTTAATTATTTGTAAATTGTAAAATTTTTAAAAATACTAATGAAAAGAAGTTACTGAAATGAAAATTAAAAAAAATATTTAGAAAAAATTCTCAAAGGTATTTTAGAAATAAGTTTTTTTTTCAAAAATATAAATAACCTTCCTTTTTTTTTACCGAAATAACGATAATTTCTATTTGAATCGCAATTTAACCATTTTTTTTCTTTCAATTAAAAAAGTTAAATTAATGAACAAAAAAAGGAGAAAACAATTATTAAATTCTTTTATTTCTATTTTTTAAAAATATTTTTTCATAAAATAATATTAAACATTCTAGAATTTACAGATAAAATAAAAATTTGTTAATTAATTTTTTTTTGTTTTTTTTTTTTTTTTTTTAATATTTGATGCTTTTTTTCATTAAAAAGCAGAATGTAAAATATTTGTTAATATTCGAGAAAGAAAGAAAAAAAAATACATTTCCCCTTTTGTAAATTTTGTTAACATGAAAGAAAGACGATTGGAAAACAAAAATGAAAACTCACCTTTTCACTGTGTTTAAACTCCCTCATCACGCGATCATAATCCCTTTTCGTGACACGTTCTGGATAGCAAACGGCACTCTTGATAAAGGTTTTCAAACTTCTTTCAAGTAGTTGATTTACTTCATTATAATCATAGTCATCATGTCTAATTCCAAACATGCATTGAATATAATTCCAAATAGCACGTCGAAAACGCGATGTATCAACTTTATTGTGCGTGCCCATCGTGTAATACGTGAGATTGTAGGCCGTCTTAAACTTATCATCGAGAAGATTGCCTACGTCATTGTAAAGCCTATTGACCAACGAATAACCATGATCGTCCCAAGAATAATCTTGTACGCGAAACGTTGGTATGTCGTTGAGTTGTCCTCGCTGCAAAACAAAAAAAAAAAGGAAATAGAGAAAATTAAAAAACAAATTCAGAATTTTCCCTTACTTCTAGACAATATTTTGTGTTTTTCCCCTGACATTTTTGAATTTTGTTCTTTTCTATCAAATGTGAATTCTATTTTTAAAAAAATTGTGATAAATGAAAATTTAATAAAATTTAAATTAAGCAAATACTGTACAAAGAACAATTCAAATTCTTAAAAAAAAAATTTAATTAAATATTTTCAAAGGTTTTAATGAAATTATTTTGAAAAATTCAATTATTTTCAAAGCTTTAAACTGAACATGAAATTTCAATTACAATTCTTTTAGTTCAATATATTCGAAAATTTAATTATTTTCCAAAATATAATTTAAATTATTATTATTTTCAAAAAATGAATAATTTCATAATTTTTAATAAATTCGTCGATAATTGAATTATTATTGAAATTTTTAGTTTCAAATCTTTTAAAAATAGTAAAAGTCAAAACTTTTAATTTCAACTCTTTCAATATTGAATTATATTTCTATTAAATATTAAATTTTTCAAAAATTTAATTAGTTAAAAAAATTTCTATAATTTAATTATTGTCTAATATTTGGATAAAAAAAAATTCATGGGTATGAATTAACAAAAAATTTTAATTTAAAATCGCCGAAATTTCAATTATTTCTGAAAATATAAAATTTGAAAATAATAAGAATAAAAAAAAAAACAGAAATAAATTAATCATTGTGCATGCAAGTAAAATTATTAAAATTATTAAAATTATTAAAATTATTAATTAGTTTAAATTATGTTAAAATTATTAAATTATCAATTAATTGAAATTAAATAAGAATTATTAATAATAATAAAAAAGCTTTTAACAAATTCCTAAGTTTTTATTAATCCTAATTTTCATTTATCAATTTTTTTTCCTCAAAAAATTGAAATAAAATTCATATTAAAAATTAGAATATAATTCTAAAAGAAAATATTTAATGAAATTAATTATTTATAAAATGAATTAATTTTTATTTTACCTTGGCAAAATCCTGATAAATGAAGGTTGGATCCTCAATGAACAATCCAATGTCCGAATCGAGAATTGAACTTCTCTGGGGAGCAGCGGCCAATTCTGCTGATTGCGTTTCAACTGTTTCAAATCGTTTTGACAATTCTTCTTGCGTGATTTGGTAAGATTCAGACTTTTCCGAAAGTCGCTTCATTCGTTCCATAAGGGTCTCAACACCGACTTCTTGCTCTCCTACTATACTGGGTGAAGAAGGCGGCGACGGGATGGATTCTATTTCAAATTAAAGAAGAAGAAAAAATAATCAAAAACATATTTTTCTATATTCTTTTTTTTTTAAATTATTTCAATTAATAAGTAAATTTATTTCTTATTTAATTCAAAAAATTAGAAAGAAATTATCAATTTTTTGAACACATGAATATTCTCCACTTGTACAAATATTGAAATTTTGTTACATTATTATTTATTAATTTTATTAATAATTTATATTAATTATCATTATTATATTACTTTTTATTATTAATTATTATAATTATTATTTTAATTATTTTTATTATTATTATAAATATTATTTATTATAATTGAAAATAATTTATATTTTAGAAAAAAAAAGAAGAAATAAATTTTCTTTAGAATGCATGAATATTCGAATGGGAATGTAAATTAATTTTTTTTTTTTTTTTTGAAAATGAAAAGATTTCTCGTACCAGTCTTGCCACTGCCATTGAGAATTTTCTTGGGACTACTAGAAAGTTTGTCTTTGGCAGGTTGTATTTTAATGCTATTGTCTTGGACATTCTCCTTGTAATGATAACCTGCAACGTTGTCCAATTCCTCGTTAATGCCGCAGGAGAAGACGAAGGACGACAGCGAATGGAAGTGAGCCAAAAGAACTATCGCATGGACAACTTCGGCTAACGACCAATTATCGGCACCTTTCGTTAATTTCTGCAAAAAATGACAATCGATTATTAATTTTATTTTTCAATTTAAAATGATTAATAATTAAATTAAAATTTATATATCATTTTTAGGAACACACAAAAATAGTTATTTTTTTTTAACGTTTTGAGATTTCAATATTTGATTCGAAAATTTTATTTTCACATTTAAATATTGAAATTCCTTTTTCAAAATCATTGGAAAAAAATTATTTTTGTAAATATATTCTATTATTATTATTGTTATTATACTTATTAGAAAAAATTCAATTAATGAAAGTCGAAAAAAATTGTTTTAAAAATTATCAATTTTATAATTAATTTGATAATTTTTTTTTTCTTTAACAGAGGGATCTCTATGTGAATGCGATAAGAAATAATAATTTTTCAAAAAAAAATGTTCGCCGTATATCGAATGATGAAAGTCGTCGTCGTCATCGTCGTCGTCGACGTCGTTAAGTTTAAAATAAATTTACAGTAAACATATCAAAAACAAGACAGTAAATTATAACGACGAGGGATATAAATCAAAAAAAGAGTATACATGTATATATATGTATATTTTACGAGTGAACTTACTTCTATGTGTGTTTTATTGAGGAGCCAAGGCCTGTGTGCAAGAATTTTGTTGATCTCATACAAATCCTGTAGCTTCCCTGGTATCGATCTTAAGCCCTGAAGCCACGATGGATCGCCACCTTGATGTAGAAATTCTGACTTTTGAAGATTAATGAGGTAGCTGCATTGATGCCTTCCAGCAGCCTGTAAAATATTTTTCTCATTTCAGAGTCTTTATATTTATATGATTTTTTTTTCGCCACAACTCACTTCAAAAAAACTTTTGCAATGAAATTAAATATAAATCAAAAAATTTAAAAATGAAAAAAAATATTCATTGAATACATTTTTTAAACCAGAAAAAATTGAACTATAAATTTTTAATTTACAAATTTTCATTAATTTTAATTTCAATAATTAATTGAAATAAATTGAGGTAGATAATTAATTTATAATTGGAAAAATAATATTTATTTATAATTATTTATTAATTTTAATAATTACAAATAATATATGTTAATAATTAATTTTATATTCTAATAATTATTAAAATAATTATTTTCAAAATTATATAGGTAGAGAATAATTAATAATTAATAATTAATAATTAATAATTAATAATTAATAATTAATAATTAATAATTAATAATTAATAATTAATAGTTAATAATTAATAATTAAGAATAAAAAAATATTAATAAAAGAATCAATAAAATAATTGAGAAAAATGTCTATAGATAAACAATAATTTTGAGGAATTTTGTGAATTATATTTGAATAAATCAGTGTATAAATAGAATCAATTTAAAAAAAAAAAAAAAAAATATTTGCTCTAAAAGACCTGTTTTTACACTTTTCTTTCAAATGATTATCTTATCATTTATCCCGTTTCGATGTTTGCTCTCACAAATTTAATAGACGATAAATGTCTTCGATTAAAGCCGATGTGACAATGAGTCTTACATTACTTGAAGAAGTGAAAACAAAAAAATTATTGTTTTCCCCTAAAAACTTAGATCGACATTTTATTTTCCATTATTTAATAAATATTTCGCATTTTAAAAAATTATATTAAATATATTATACGTTAATGAATATTTTTATTAATTTTAATAAAATTCACTGAATTTTATTTAATCAGATTAAATAAAATAAAAATTATTACTTTTATAACCTAATTATTTTATTTATTTTTTTTTACAATTAAAAATAAAAATTATTAATAAAATAAAAAATTATTCCAATAAAAAAAACATTTTAATCATAAAAATTACACGACTTAAAAAAAAAGAATTTAGTTAAAATTCTTCTTTAACTTTTTATTAATTATTCGAACCAAATAAAATGTATATTATTAAATTTATTTATAATTTATTTATAAATAAAAATTTATTTGTCTTAAACTATTTTTTCGATTTTGGAAATTAGATAAAAATTAAATATTTTTATTTCGGGTAAATAAATTTTATAAATAAATAAACTAAATTGGAAAAAAAATTTTTTTTTTTGCATAAATTGACAAATTTTATTTCTTGGGACAAACAAAAATTTTTATTAACACAAAAAAAAATATTTACATTTATAATAAAAAGAAAATATAATTTTATTTTCTAATTATTTATTTTTGTAATTAATAAAAAAAAATACGAAAAAATTACTCACCATGATTGCGATGAGATGTCGATAATCGTAGGGAAGAGGACCGTCTCCACGTAGAATGAAATTTTGTGTTTTCAAAAAGTGTTCCAAATAGGAAGGATGTGAAGACATAACTCTCGAAACATGATCTAGCCTGTTGTTTTGTAGGAAAGCATCCATAAACAGCATATACGACTGTAAAATAATAAAAAAAAGGCCAAATTAATTACTATAACACACACTCGACATATTTTTCATATTACATTAAAAAAAAAAAAAAATTCATATAAATTTAATTTTAATGAAAAAGTTTCTCTCGTCTGTAATTGTACATTTATACGTTTGCAACATGCTAATTAGGGAACGTGTAAACAACCATATACACACACATATATATATGTATATATAACGAATATATGTTAATTTAACTTTCAAATGTAATAATCATGTGAATCAGCAACCGGCTTTATTTATGACTTATATATACCTGAATGTAAAAAAAAAAATTATATTCAACAGAAAACAATTATTAGAATCTAAGGTATTAGCCTCTCTTTTCTGCAATTATTAAAAAATAAATTATCTCTCCGAGAGTATTCCATATATACATCATTACAAGAAATATCAATTATTTATTCATTTATATTATTTCCTACTTCGATTATTGACTTTTATTTCTATAATTTAAACAAAAAAATTTCCCCTACTTGCTTTTCTATAGTAAAATAATAGAAAATTTTAATTAATTATATATTTTATTATTACTTTTTTTTGATTTTATTTATTGTACATTAATTTTAATTGTTTTTTTTTAAATTTAATTTAAAAATGTAATTTGATTAATTAATAAATTATAAACTGTTGTATAATTAATGAAACTAATTAACTTAAATATATATATATATATATATATGGGACGTTCTTTGTCAACCGGACCACCCCATCTCTCCATAATTGGTTTAATTTAAAAAAATTTTATCATATTGGAAAAATTAGCTTGGAATATCTACTTTTTAATCCCGTTGGGCGCTTTTTGAAATTCAAAATGGCGACTTAAATATGGCGCCTAAACGACATAAAAAACACAAAAAATCCACTAATATGATCTATATTATTGTTTAAAGCTTCACATATGACGATAAAAATAACCACAACATAGTTTACTTACAAACTGATAACGTATCTCCATTCAAAATTCAAAAATTCAAAATGGCGGATTAAATATGGCGGATAAAATTAAAAATTGAGCTAGACCCGTGAAAATTACTACTTGGGGGTTTTCGAGGTCGCTGATTACGAATCCGGTGTTAGTTTTCAAAAATTCAAAATGGCGGATCCAATATGGGGGACAAAAATTGAAAAAATGGAGCTAATTTCGTAAAAATGTCTACATAGGGGGTTTTTTGGTCGCTGATTACAAATCCAATGTCAGTTTTAAAAAATTTTTAAATAGTTGATGACAAATCTCTATTTAAAATTCAAAATGGCGGATAGAATTAAAAAATTAAGCTAGTTTTGTGATTATTAATTAAATAATCCTCACGTAATTTCCATAAAAAGTTATCTGGCGTTGTATTTGATAAGTTCAAATGGCACCTTTTTACGTTCAATATAAAAAAGTTAGATCAATTTTTTATATTTTGGTCCACCATTTTATATTCACCATTTTGATTTTTTAAAAAGTAACGATGAATTCGTAAAGATTGTCCTGAAAAACCCTTAGGTAGACATTTTAACGAGTTTAGCTCAATTTCTTGGATTTTTGGTCAGCCATTTAGAATTTTTAAAAAGTAACCGCAGATTCGTAATCAGTGGCCCCGAAAACCCCCCAGTAAACAATTTTACGGGTTTAACTTAATTATTTAAATTTTGGGCTACTATTTTAAGTCTGCCATTTTGAATTTTTAAAATCTAATAACGGATTTGTAATCAGCGACCCCAAAAACCCCCGAGTAACAAGTTTCAGGCGAATCTAAACGATTTTTTAATTTTTGTCCATCATATTGGATCCGCCATTTTGAATTTTTGGAAACGAATACCGGATTCGTAATCAGCGACCCTAAAAACCCCCGTGTAACAAGTTTCAATCGAATCTACACGATTTTTCAATTTTTTGTCCGCCATATTGGATCCGCCATTTTGAATTTTTGAAAACTAACACCGGATTCGTCATCAGCGACCCCAAAAACCCCCGTGTAACAAGTTTCAATCGAATCTACACGATTTTTCAATTTTTCCGCCATATTGAATCTGCCATTTTGAATTTTTGAAAACTAACAACGGATTCGTAATCAGCGACCCCAAAAACCCCCGAGTAACAAGTTTCAGTCGAATCTAAACAATTTTTCAATTTTTGTCCGCCATATTGGATCCGCCATTTTGAATTTTTGAAAACTAACACCGGATTCGTAATCAGCGACCTCGAAAACCTCCAAGTAGTAATTTTCACGAGTCTAGCTCAATTTTTAATTTTATCCGCCATATTTAATCCGCCATTTTGAATTTTTGAATTTTGAATGGAGATACGTTATCAGTTTGTAAGTAAACTATGTTGTGGTTATTTTTATCGTCATATGTGAAGCTTTAAACAATAATATAGATCATATTAGTGGATTTTTTGTGTTTTTTATGTCGTTTAGGCGCCATATTTAAGTCGCCATTTTGAATTTCAAAAAGCGCCCAACGGGATTAAAAAGTAGACATTCCAAGCTAATTTTTCCAATATGATAAAATTTTTTTAAATTAAACCAATTATGGAGAGATGGGGTGGTCCGGTTGACAAAGAACGTCCCATATATATATATATATATATATATATATATATAAAGTAAAGTATTTTTAATCAAAATCAATCATAAATTATGTACAATAATTTAATTCCAACATTTGAATAACTTCTGCTTTTAGTGTGAATTAATTTAAATATTTGAACAATTTTTTTTTATTATTATAAATGATAATTTAAAAAAAAATAAAATAAAAGTTTCATTAAAAATTTTACTTTACATACAGGATCGGATTTAAATGAAATGACACACGAAAATGGATGAAGAAAATTATAACAATTCCAATTTATGGCTTAATTTTTTAATGAATTGTCAATATTAAAATTATTAAAATTATACCTAAATTTTGAGGTTATGTTCATTTATTGGTTAAGGGAATTTGAGGTTATGTCTGTCGAACATAGCCTTAAACCCAACGGCAATCCTGAGGACTTGCGACTATATTCAGAGTCTTGATATTATTTTATATTATTAAATAATTATTATTAATCATTAATAATTTAAAAAAGCGAATTATTATTATTTTAAAGAGTTAAATATAAATATATATATTTTCACGCCTTTTGTATTTTGCCCAGGGTTCTAGAGCCGGCCCTGTTCTAAAAAAAAACCACTAGGCTTATATTCGCTAAAAATAAAGTTTATAGATTATTTATTGGATGAAATATGTATTTTTACTGATAAGAATAAAAGTTATGAATCTCAATATGGAGGTACCAGGTTATATAAATTGACTTATAACCGTTGCCAGATAAAATTATACCGGTAACAATTATAGTGTCGAAGAAAGAAAAAAAAACACACAAAACAGTTGCTACATTTTTTTTTTTAATTTTATAAAAACTAAAATTATTGGCAAAATTTGAAAATTTCAAGACGCATGCAATTTTTACTTATTTTTTTTTTTTTTTTATTATAATAAAAATTTAGAGAATTTTATTTTTCTTTTCATTTCAATATTTATTGCTGATAAAATTTTGTTGAAAGAAACTTTTATTGCTGATAAGAAGAACTTTTTTAAGAGATAGGACGCTTATTATTAACAATTATTATATATGAATGATAAATATACTTGAGAGAGAGAGAGAGAGAGAAAAAAACCAGGAAAACTAGAAATTGTTATAATATATACACTGAGACAGAGACACACTAGACAGAACGGTAAACAACTGACTGTCACGAACTCGTTAAATATATATATATCAGAACAATCGATCATACATCAGTATAATCTTAAACGATCTCATGAGACTTCATTTTAATCCTCTTACCGAAAAACTCTTGTTGGAAGGGTGAAATGACAAAGTTCACGATTTAA